TCTGGCGCGTCCATATCGAGCGTTCAGAGAATTCTACGTTAGTCCGGCGGGAGGACCTTCGAACGGCCGGAGAAGCCTCAGCTGCGCATTTCGCTGCAATGGAAGGAGGAGGAACGGTGGGGTCTAATAAGAGTCGGCTCGTTATCCTTTCGGTTTGGCCCGGCTTGCTCGGTCGAACCATGAAAAATGATTTGCATAATACAGAGACATCGACCGGTGCGCAGAAGGGCGAACAGAGGAGTCGATAGGCAGGTGCCCTTCGCGTCTCCTTCAAACGAATCACGATTAACGAGGCAAATAGGGGGTGGTGTAAGACGCTTCATTACAAAAGTCTTGCAGATACAGAAGACGACATTATGTCCTTTTTTCCTTTCTTCAAACAGGCATTTTATGAGAACGACGGTAATATCGAGGAGAAGAACGAGTTCTGGACTCATCAAGAAAGACTTTGGGGGTTCGGAAACCGTCTCGCTTCGATAGCATGAACGAAGCGAAAAACCAATTCTGATCGTGGCTAAAACGGCCCACAGACAATAGTGATTTATCCTACAATTAATTGTAGAAACATACGTTGCTTCGATCGATTGAAAAACAGTTGCCAACGATTCTGACGTGGTTGTACAATTTGCAGTACGATGTAGTCGTACAGGTGCCACAGTGGTCCAGAATCAATATTCAACAGTTTCTACGCTTATTTAGCTCGACATAGATAAATGAACAGATGTTTATGAACTTTTGTGATTCTCTACTTTACAGTAACGTCATCATTCGTCATAGTGTTCTCAACATCTTCATGAAATACTTAATGAATATATCAGGGAATTCATTTGTTTATTTTTAACTGAGGATTTATGATACGGTTAATAAATAAGTCGATGCGAATGTTTCAGAAGATAAAAGAAATTTGTCTTACCGCCGCATACGAACTATGGATATTTCGAAGGGGGAAGGGTTTAAAGGGCTTCGGGAACACGGGGCATCAGACACGGGGTTCGTGAGATTAAAGCCTGGCAGCTTTACGCACAGGGTTCGGCTGACATCCGCCTCAGTTAGGTAACCCCGTCGGTCGAGGATGTTCACACATGACAGGATAATATCGTTACTTAGGAAAAAAATTTGTCAAATTGATATAAGGGACGGGGATGATGGTTAACTAATAACAATTCACGGATTCCACGAGGCTGGTCCACTGTCGATCGAAAGGCTGTGAAACGGCTCTTACCGATGAATTATCCGATCCCGATTAACCCCGTTCGTGGGATTATTCTCCTGGCGTAGTCGAGCCCTAATCCAAATATCCCAAGAGCCCTATTGTCCTTGATACATGCGTGACAGGTAGCACGCCTGATAACGGCGCTGCGCTAATGTGTACCCGGCCACGCACGATTACTCAATGAGCGTTTTCGCAAACCGGCATTACCGACGATCTCGTTGAAGGATGCAACAGCCGTTCCGTAACTGGAACGTGCGCCATGCGCCACGAAACTAGGGGAATGTAGAGGGTGCAACGAAAAAAATAGGATTCATAACTTCTGGAGTAGATAATACTTGCCAAATGACAAACAAAAAGCACTGATAAACATGTCGTCCACCGAGATCTTAACTGTTGTAACTCCAGTTTTCAAAAAAATTCAGTTAATCAATCTACGTGCGTCTCATTGGTCCAAAGAATACAAATTCACCACAATATAAAGAAAATTTAAATTAGAAAACAACAAATATTCTGTTAAATCCTAATTTCGAAACATTGCAAAAAAATTGCACACAAAAAATTGCTTATAACTTCGAAAATATTCATGTTTCGACACATTTTAATAAGGATATTCTTCATCGATTTGACGAGTACTATCTACCCCAGAAGTTATGAACCTTTTTTTTTTGTTTCACCCTATATTTGTATACAGGGTGTCCCAAAAAAAATGAGACAATCCGCAACATGCACATACCTGATGGAAATACAAATCGAAACGTCATTTACCGTTTTGTAATCTGAAGCTCCATTTCCGAGATATTAGCAGTTAAACGAATTCCTACCAGCTGAGCAGTGGGACACACATACGCGCAGACATGGTCAAGAAGCACAGAGGCCAGTGACTTGAGTCGTGCGTTTCTTGATTCTGTCTGCGCGTACGTGTGAGTTCGTTTAACTGCTAACATCTCGCAATGGAACTATATATTACAAAACGGCAAAGGACTTTTCGATTTGTACTTGCATGAGAAATGTACATGTTGTGGATTGTCCCATCTTTTTGGGACACCCTGTATGTATGTTGAGAGATGGACCTCTCGAAAGCTCCGTCGGTGTATGACTCAGATGCCTTCTAGCGGGCGTAGAAATTCCAAGGGAGAATATCTCCTCGCGCGTACCTGAGGTGCTCCAGGTAGAATCCCGCCACATCTGGTGGTCGCCCAGGTGAAGTATCCCACCGCCTTTTACGCCCCCTTCGTCCTTGGAGCCGCCCTCGTCCACGCCCCAGAGCTTTTTTGCCGAGGGAGCGATCTGAAACAATATCAGAAAACGGGTCGTAAGTCCAAAGGGGCTGATGTACTAACGAACCCGCGCGGATCCGCTTGAAATTAGCGTGTCTGAGCGTGTACGAACTATCATCGCGATTTGAACACGTTTGCAACACAGTACAGTAAATCCTCGATGAGTGTTCGAAGGTTCCTGAACGCTAAATATTTCACAAAACTAATGACCACATGCGACTGAAACGAATATCTATCGCTTCATAATACTAAGGTCTGGGTTAGATGCTAAATCTCATTAAAAAGTTAGCATTACAGGACCTGCCCTTGTCAGTGCCGAGGAGCCTTCGAACACTCATTGAGAATTTACCGTAACAAGTGCATACATGATTATTATTCGCCGTCCTTATCGAAGAATAAAGTGAAATTTAATTTAACGGGCCGATCTGAAGGTCCAGGAGACTACCCTTCATCCTTTGTCTGCCAGATAAGCCAATGTTCACGGAGTTGGACTCATCGAGTAGGAACTTATCAGACGGACCGTATTTTATACGTGATTGGAATTCGAAGGGTGACATTATACCCAGCCATCACAGTCTCCCGCGATTGAGAACCGCCGTTAAATAATTAACCTTTCACTCCTGAAAACTTATCCCTCCCTCCGAAGTTCTTCCATTTTTTTTTATTTATTATTATTATTATTAAAGATGGGTAACAAGCTTCGCAAATACACTCTCGCAAGAATCACACCGAAGGACTCCATACCTATTACGGTAATCAACATCAAAACATCCGTTTCCAGTCAAAAACATCCAACTCCCGCCCCCCACCCCGCCGCCCCTCGACAAGTTCGTCGCAACGGGTGGAAATTTAAGCGCGAAAGTCGGCGCCGCGTCAGTCTTGCAGCCGAGAAAGGTTCCAATCGAAAACAGAGAGAGAGACGAGTTGAGTCGCAACCCGTTTCATCGTGAACCGACTTTACATACACACAGAGACACACTACGTACACACGGAGAGAGAGAGAGAGAGAGAGAGAGAGAGAGAGAGAGAGAGAGAGAGCATACACACTTCACATTACTGCACCGTTCCCGACCTAACCTAACTCTGGAGGTCAGTGACGTAACGGAAAGGAGCTGTGGTTGAGGGAGGGGGATGGAGGGAAGCGACCACAGATTGCGGGATCCTAGATGCAGGTATACTGCACGCGCGACGATCACAGTGTGCGCAGGGCCCCGACAGGAGAGTGCAGAATAGCCCTTGTTGCATTTGCGTCCGCATTATCGTGCCAGCCGCGGATCGTTATTAGATTCGCGAAAAAAACCGTCATTTTTTCAATCGTCCCACAGTGGGACGGATTTCTGGAGGATTAGCTTATTAAACTGTCTATCTAGATACATACAGGCAGTCCCCGTTTCATCGCGCGGATAATTGCGGGTATAGATTACCCTGCACAAACTGGAATACGACGATACTGACTTAATGATCCCAGAACGGCCAAACACACGGCGGTATGTACATACTATGACGTCGTTCGATACACAGTTCCCTTGATTTGTTTCCTTTTATTTCAAAGTAGCCTGTACAAAGGCGATACAGGTCGACGACGAGTTAACGGCGTAGAGGAACGACGACCCTTTCCAAGCGGGCACAGACAAACCGTGTCAGTCTCGATTATTTAATCGATGCTTCAAGGCGCGTCACGGTCGCCACCAAATGATGACTCATCGACAGTGGGGGCGGGGGCAGAGAGCACGTAAAGAAGAAAAAAAGCGGCGCGCGCGCTAGAGAGAGAGAGAGAGAGAGAGAGAGAGAGAGAGAGAGAGAGAGAGAGAATGCAAGATTTCTAGTATAACTCACTGCGGCGAAGACAGGCGGTCTCGACAGAGAGCGCACGCGATATTTATATTTTATTGATCAGACGAGATGATATCGCGTACAATAGCACGTGTGCGTCATGAGTCGCGGGTAGAGAGGTTTGTTACCGGCCGATACTGATGGTGATACATTTGAATTGTATCGATACTTGGTATTATTTAAGCAGGTCAGTTATTTAAGCAGATTTTTACTGCAGGCAGATTCTTAGGCAACAGTGTGGAAAAGAAATCATTTTCTTTACGACCTGTTACGTTGTGGCAAATCCAGCGATCGTATCGAAGTTTCGATATTTATGGATTAAATAGCGATACTGGAATATATCGTCACATTAAACATCGATATTTGAAATGAAAAGTATCGATATTCGAAATACCAGTACTGGATCGCCTGTCACTATCGGGCTGACGAAAAAGATTTTGTTTATCGCGGCGTGGTGCAACGTCGAATTCCGTTGATTACGAAGTTACACACACACTGCAACGGAACTGACAGCGAGCCGGACGTCCTTTGAAACAAATTCGTGGTTATCGATGTTACGTCGTCCACCCGTGCGAAGAAAAACATACGATAAGACGATATCTCATTGGCATAGATTCCAGTTGCAAGTGCAAACCGAAAACTTCGCCGCCGTGATTCACAACCGATTCCCCCGGATCGAATCTAATCTTATGAAAATTTAAGTCACGACGAAAAGCCTTTGATCCTTGGTTTCGTATATACGAATGTGGAGAAAATGTATGTGAAGTACACGTAAGTGATGTATATGGAGAAAAAGAACGAACAGGCAGATATTTCACCCAACGTGGACCATAAAAATAGCCAAGATAAAAAGGGTGCATAGCAATATATCCTACCGCCGAAAGCGTACAAGAGCACATATTCACAGACACTAAAAAATATTTTTGCGAGGCAATATCGAGGCGAGGCTCGCGCGTATCGTCTCTTCACCTAGATCGACAAATCGGCGGATAAAAGGAAACAGAAGAAGAAAAAAAAAATATCGAACGAGTTACACAGGTTTAGAAAACCGGTTAGAAATCCCACGGGAGAAAACACACATCGGGAGCTTTGTAAGAGCGAGCCCCTACGTCTTCACGTGTGTCAAGTTGGAAAGCGAATCTTCGTTTACATCATTCAACAGCACAATTTCTTCTTCCCTCCCCTGGCCCTCCCGCGTGGCTTTTTTTTGGACTCGTATTTTAGTGCGCGACCGCGCGAGTCTCGCCTGTACTCTCTTCTTCTTTTCCTCGGTTGGAATTCTTGGGAATTACCCGCGGACTTAAGAACGATAATAATAAGAATAACAGTTTTAATTACGCAATCCCCTGGCCTAAGAACACTGAAACGAGTTTCAAACACCATCTGCACGAGGAGAATGTATTCTCTGTGGTGGTGGTGGTGGTGGTGGTGGTGGTGGTCTCTACACACCACCGTCGTTCTATCGTTGTACGCTACCCACTTTAGAGTCTCTCTACTAACATAAATAGAACACGCGGATGAGCCGCGCGTTTCCATTCGAGAAATCGACATTTCTGTCGCGTGCTCGCTGGAGCGCAGTTCCCTAAAAATGGAAATGGCTTCGAATTACGTTACAGTGGACTTTTAATAACTTTCTGCATAGGCCTCCTATACCATCCACGCGTTCTTTCACCAATACAGGAAATCATCGATGAGTGTTCTGGAGCCCCCCCCCCCCCGCCCCCAATTATGGGACTGACGTCTGAACACTCGGAGAGCCTTCGAACACTCATCGATAATTTATTGTACTACTGATATGTCCTCGCAACATCGTTTAATTCACGCGCACCTCTTGCCCATGTACCGTCCCGCTAACGTTAGTCTTTGTGGTGGGAGTCATTCGATACGTTTCAGTTTCCCAGAATTTCTTCTCTTACAGCCCCGAGCGCGGTAAGTTATCGAGAGTCCACTGTGCTCGTGACAAAATATTCCACACGTATGTATACACTTGATTCCCTTTGAATTGTACGACACGTGTCGTCGCGCGGTACGCCACAGGGATTAGCCCACCCTTTTTTCGATACACTTAAAGGTATCCCATACCGAGAAAACGTGCACTCGAGCCACAGCTGGATTCGTTGGTGGTTCCCATCGCGTGTATTTTTCTCCAGTCTTTCGAATGCGGTTTATAGGGTTAGAGGGGGCAGGGAAGCGGCTCCACGATTCCTGAACGCACAGGGGGTGAGACGTGCGCGCGAGAAGTGGAAAGCACCGAAACGAGGATACCGTCGAAAGGTTCGGTAAGGTAAGGGTAAGAGGTAAGAAGGGTAAGGCTCGGTCAACCGGGGGCGATACGCCGTGAGTATCGACCGCGTCGCCGGCCGGCAGAGACGCTTTTGCACGTTAAGCACGAGTAACGCAGAACGGAGAGAGAGAGGAACAGGGAGAAGGAGAGGACGAAAAGCGCACCGAACAGAGAAGAACAACCCATCGCAGACTTTCTCGTTCCTGGAACGAGACCAAAGAGGGGGACCCGACTCGATTCCACGGATTAACTGATAGGAATATTCTCGTGCATCCGTGGTGGGTCACGCTGTTAACGTTGTCGACGACACATCGTATCGGTCGATTATTCCAGAGAAAGTCGAATCTCATCGCGTCTCGTGAATAACTAATGGGGGGAACGAAAATATGAAATATTCCGTTGGCCGGGTAGGATAACGCGGCGAGGAGATGACCGATGGTCCTCGAGACAAACAGCCGGAAGCTATTTCGCTTTCGTTTGAATTTATAACTGGGTCGAGAGGGTGGTTGAACGAGGCCTTGACGGGGAACGTATCCGAACGGCTGGCCACCAAACGGTTTCAAACGGCCTTCTATCCAGAGGTCCCATGAGTTCTTTAAAAGGGACAATGGATACCGAATAGATAGAAAACGACTCGAAGGATCCAGTAGGGATAGACAAGGGTATCATTTAGCAAGAGTAATGTTATAGATGATGCACCATTTAGCGCAAATGCACTACCTACAGCGCATCCTCTCGTTTTTTGCTTGTAGGTACATCGTATACAACAGGGAGAAGCTCACGCAATAACAACCCTGAATTCATCCGATCCGTTTCATTAGCCGAGGAACGATAGCATTCCGCCTCTCGAAAACCAGTCAGCGAAAACTTTTGCGCGTTCAAGGAGCATAGAG